CAGTTACTCAGTTTGTCCCCAATGTATTTTCCTTCATTCCACCCCCTTCAGCCCCCACAAACTTCCTTTCTTCTAGTTAATTTAAAACCCAAAAATGTGACTCAAATTTTTACAAATTTTATTTTGGATCCTTGATATACCAATGTTTTCAGGTCTTCAAACATCTAGGAGAGCAATTTCTAACTTTTCACAAGGTTCTAAAAACAGCCTAGGCACTGCAATAAGTAAAAGATGCAGGCTGTTTATGCATAAGTACAAGCACTGAACATCTGATTTTACAAACATACGTTGTGTGCATTGGAAAGCCAGACATGATGTATCTACACCCAAAAATCAAGACATTTCACTAAGTGGTAAGAAGAACAGATTTAGAGCAATGCTAAGCAGACCCTGGGGGCCTGCTCAGGCAAGCCAGATGTATCAAAAGGACACTAGGCACAAAGGTGTTCTTTCAGAGTAGATCAGAGCTCAGTCCCTCCGATTGTGGGTAATCCTGAAACAGATATGCCATTTAGAAAGACTGTACTTTGAGATGTTACTGACATGTATATTCAGTGTGACTACATCTACACTGTAATCTGGGTTATTTTTAATGCTAGCAGTATCCAGGATGGCATGCCTTCTATTGATAAGGATCATTTGGCAATTTAAGCAGTTGTGTATTTTCCCTTCAACCAAAGATTCCTAAATTCTATATGGACTACAAAGGGAAAAGCTGTAAGGATGTGTTGTGAAAGTATATACAACCAATAAGTCTCTAAAAAGAACAGTCTCAGATAAATAAAGAGTTTTTCCTCTTTTGAGTGCCTGCCATGGGGGAGAAGGGAGAGCTCTTGTTACACAACCAATGAGGGTGTCACAATGCACCCTCCCTTCAGGTATTTATATACATTGGTAAGACCCCTTCCAAGCCTTCTCTTCTCCAGGCTAAACAGTCCCAGCTCTCTCAGCCTTTCCTCACATGGACTCCCTTCATCATCTCAGTAGCTGGACTCTCTCCAGCTGCTCCATATCTCTATTGCACTGGGGAGTCCAGAACTGGACCCAGCACTCCAGGTGTGGTGGAGGTTTTCAAGAAGCAAACGAACAGGGTGCTAGATGATCTCATCTAGGCTGCCTTTTCCACAGAAGATTGGACCAGATGATCTTCTGAGGTCCCTTCCAACCTGAGCTGTTCTATGAACTTGGTGTCTACCAGGACCCCGAGGTCTTTTTCCGCAAAGCTGCCTCCCAGCTGGATGGCCCCCAGTACATACCGGTGCCTGGGGTTGTTCCTCCCCTGGTGCAGGACTTTGCACTTGCCTTTGTTAAACTGCAGGAGGTTCCTGTCAACCCATTTCTCCAGCCTGTCGAGGTCCCTCTGGACAGCTGCACAACCCTCTGGTGTATCAGCCAATGGGTTGCTTATATACTGACTGCCAGTTATCGTTTTTCTAAATTATTCAGAACTGTGGTCTCATGAACTGCCCATCAGGTCTCTTGGCAGGAGCCCTGGGTCGGGGCAACCCCCGGTATCAATACAGGCTGGGGGATGAAGGGATTGAGAGCAGCCCTGCCAAGAAGGACTTGGGGGTACTGGTGGATGAAAAGCTGGACATGAGCCAGCAATGTGCGCTCGCAGCCCAGAAGGCCAATCGTATCCTGGGCTGCATCAAAAGAAGCGTGGCCAGCAGGTTGAGGGAGGGGATTCTGCCCCTCTACTCTGCTCTGGTGAGACCCCACCTGGAGTACTGCGTCCAGCTCTGGAGCCCTCAGCATAAGAAAGACACGGACCTGTTGGAGCAGGTCCAGAGGAGGGCCATGAAAATGACCAGGGGGATGGAACACCTCTCCTATGAAGAAAGGCTGAAAGAGTTGGGGGTGTTCAGCCTAGAGAAGAGAAGGCTCCGCGGAGGCCTTATTGCAGCCTATCAGTACTTAAAGGGGGCTTATAAAAAAGATGGCGGCAAAAAAAAAGACTAGATATAAGGAAGAAATTTTTTACACTGAGGGTGGTGAAGCACTGGCACAGGTTGCCCAGGGAGGTGGTAGACGGCCCATCCCTTGAAACATTCAAGGTTGAGCAACCTGATCTAGTTGAAGATGTCCCTGCCCATGGCAGGGGGGTTGGACTAGATGACCTTTAAAGGTCCCTTCCAACCCAAACTATTCTATGATTCTATGGTAATGGTGATCAGGGAATCAGGGCAATAAGGATGATGCAGCAGACCCTGAGTCAGCAGCAAGGGACAAGGTGGTGCAAGAACCCCAAGGCAAAGGGGAAGGGGAGTCAGATGTGGAGCTGGAGCAAGTGAGAGAGACTGCGACTGATTTTCTCAGACAACATTCAGCTACACAACGCTTAGAAGCCACTGCTTTAGAACATTAGCCCTCTGCTACTGTGATTCTTCCACTGTAAGTGTTTAGCGATCAGGAAATTAGTTTAACTGTAAACCATGGTTACTGATTTTAATAACAAGATGTTGTTCTGTAGACTTTGAAAGGAAGTGTAAACAACATCCTAGTATTTTTGCCAAAGCAACTAATAGGAATTGGTTTTAGCTTTTGGCAAAATGAGAAAAAATTAGCATTTTGCTTTATCATTCACTCTCACAGAAATTAATTTTTCCATATGCCAATTAACATTTGCGTTTTTCATTAATCCATTTACTCCTATTTAATTATACTATCCAGACCTTTTATGTTGTCAAAAGGACATCAGAATTAGTTTTCTGTATTGTCTTTCATTTGTTGAATAGTAGGGAATATGTTTTTGCGGTTTTTGTTTTGTTTTAAACCAGGTGATTTCTTCCTGACCTATAACTTAGCACCTGAAAGGCACTATCTTTTTAAGCAAAGAACTGAACTTCACTGAGACACTTGAGAGAATGTGTCCCTATTTTGCACAACTACCACTGAACTTTCCTTTCTATGATGTCATCCCAGGGACAAACAAGATAGATACTTATTTCCACATTGTGTTTGTAATAGGTGTGCCTCAAAAAAAAGAATTAGTGTTAACAGCTCAATTTTTAAAGAATATTTTCCTTTTAGAAAACATAACGGAGAGATAGTAAATTACTTGTAGACAGCTAAAAGAAATATAAATTAAAGTATTAAACCAATTACACAAACCTCTAGTCAGTCCTATTTCTCAGCTACAAACATTTTCAAAAGCATGCAAATAATTGAAAAACTGGTAATATAGATGTCCTGAAATTATTTCAGGAATTGTAGAGGATTATACCATAAGTAACACCACCAGAAAAGACAAAAACAAAGGGAGTGAAAACTGTAACAGATTATAACTGATACCACTGATGTGAAAAAGGATAAATAGTAGAAAGGCAATGTAATTTGCAAAAATATGTTGACAAAAAGGCCAACTACACTCTGAGTCATCCTAAAGATGAGCAAGTAACAATTCCTCTATAAACGCAATCGTGGGCATAGTCCATTACTTATGACAGCTCCAGCGATAAAAAGAATATAGTATTCTATTTATACAGGCTGTTGATGAAGAACTTCACACACGTGTTAAAGTAGTATGGCCTAAAAGAATAATAGAGGTTGATGAAAAACCTATATCCTTACCCTTTTTATTCTTCACAGTCTTTGCATCTTCTGCCTAACACAGAAAATATTAACAATATCTATTTGTGGCAGGGTATCTTTAAGCAAGCAGAGAACTGATAGCCTAATTCTAATCATAAAACACACCTAAAATAATAGCCTAAATATATTTGAGTCTGAAAACCACAGCATCTTCATCTTCCTAACTTGAATCTTGCATAAGCATTCTCATTCTAAACAAAAATTCAATCTAAATCCATTGTTGCTATAGTCTTACCTAGACTGAATTGGCATTCCTTCTTTACCCCTTGCATGGAACACTTTCCCATTCTGGAATTATCATTCAATTGGTAATAAGGACTCTCAAGACCTAGGTCTCCCAGATTTGGGACTAGTGTGGAAAGAATCCCTTTGGAGTATGCAGTAAATAGGAGCCTAAACTCCACTCTCTTTCACAAGTGAAGAGACCAGAGATAACAGCTACCTGTTGCTCTTTTCTTCAGAAGTCTATAAAAAGTTCTGAAAAAAGAATTCATCATTTCCAGTTTTCTCTCAGTATCCCCTAACCCTATACAAAAACAGGCACCTTCTTGGAAGGGCAGGTGTCATACTTTCTTTGGAAAAACTGTAGAAAGCTCTACCTGTGAAAGCTTTCCCACCACTCGATTGTTTCTTTCTTAAATTAGTGGTCTCAATAGCTAGTGGAACTGAGGCAGAAGTAGAGAAAGATTAGTTAGGAGTAGATTAATTTCCTGTTTTCATGTCTTTATGAAAACTCCAGAAGTTGTGAATATACATAATGAGAAAAGACAAATCCTGAAAGAAGTCTGGAGAATCTGCAGCAGTATCAGCTAAACTATACAACAAACTAATATTCACACCATGTCATTCATTTCAAAAATTCATCCAGAGCAAAATAGAATGGGTGTTCCCTTCAGGAAAGAAATCTATCTCCTCTGCAGGAATCCTTTTCTTTGAGGAGAAAAGGAATTAATATTTTGGGCGCAGATGTGAAGCCAGTTTAAGCAATCAGACAGAAGTGATTTCCAGTATTCACTTGTCCCCTGCTTTTATAATTTTCTATTGAAGCATTCCAAAACTCTAAAAAGCACGAGAAAGAGAAACTAGTCTTATGGAAGCAGTTGATGAATACCTCTCAAGGATTCAGTTTTGGGCCCCTCACCGACATTTAATAAGGACAGCAATGGTGATAGAAAACAGGGCACAGTATATGTTCTTTACAGCACCTTCTAATCCTTTTGTAGCTATTTATAGAAATCACTTATTAAAAAAAGTGTAGAGCAGGTCACCTGGGAATCAACTGTTTGCCACCAAGCTTTTCCTCATTGTAGGCACCTATGTTTCTAAGGAGTCCTGGAATGACATCTAAGCTTTCAGAATATTGAAAAATTGGAGGAAGAGGAAAAAAAAACCTCATCTTTTCTCACCAGGGAAACTGTTGCTCTTCATCAGCAAATCTGCCATCGCTGTTGACACTTCTGTTGAAATATATGAATGCAGAAAACATTTTAGAAGTTTCATTTCTATAGCAATCACAATAGATGGCAAGGCACAATGGCTGGATGAAGATGTAAACAAAACTTAGCTTCCTTATGATTGTCAGAAATTGCTCCTTGCTTTCCTGAGGCAACATGTCAATAAATTCAATCCACTTCAATTAATACACCTATTCTATTATAACTAGATGGTTATTTGAAAAACAGAATTGCAAACAAAATGGGAAATAACTCTTGCCCTTAAAAGGTCCTTTCCTCTTTTTCCCCCCAGTATCTTTATAAAGCAGTAGTGATTTCATTAGCGCTGTTCATTCTTTTCATCAGTCCTTGGGACAACAAAAGAATTTGAGATGGAAAGTGAGCAAATCTCTTGCTGGAATAAAATACTTCCCTTCTGTTCTCTTCGAAATAAATGTAATAGCATTAATGGCAGGAATCTGTCATGCTATTTTGGCATGCTCTACAGTTTCATCATTAACAGAAACACAGCTTTATTAGCAAAGTTATTTTGGTACATATATAGGAACTGTGGGGAAAGGGGAGTAAAGAGTCTCATGCACCTTCTCCTGTACGAAGTGTACTATTTCTATAATCCTCTTGCTTAGTTCCTGGAAGGGTTTTAAAAAACTGGGATACAGAATTGAGGCTGACACAACTGCTTCACATGAAGAATGACAGGACTCCAGGTAATAAAAGTTTTCACATTCCTTTAAGCCCTCATCCTATTTTTCCTGAATACAATGTACTTTAAATAGAAAATATCTTTTTACTTCATACAGGATGCCTCAAGTATTTATGACATAGAAGCAGATGCAATCTAATCATAGCAATCACCTAGTACCTGTAAACATGTTCTATTGAGAAAGAATTCCAAAACTCTCTTACTGCAATGACCCCTTTATGGTGCTGGAACCTTTTATATACAACTCCTATCAAGACCAAACTCAACAAACTATATTGAAGGATAGGTTTGTGATACCTTTCAACCACCTTGTCAGATGAAGAATGACATCTCTGAACTCAGAAAAGGACATAGATCAAGGTCTGTCTGACTTGTGTAGTATCATATGCGAATACTGAACCAATGTGTTTACTGGCGTAAGCCTTAGCAATGAGTTAGAATGTATGAGAGCAGTTACCTAGAGCCATTCCATCATGTGTTGGCATGAACTGCCTGGGCTGATATAGACGAGGGATCTTTGTCCTTTACTAAAGAGAAAGCATTTTGTATTATTTTTGTGCATATTGCAGCACTGCAGGTATATCTGGTACTCTAAGCTATATGAGCACCTAAATGTTGTTAGTGAGCCTTGGTGCAAGGGTATAAAGCAGCACAGGCAGCATCTCTTAGGCAGCATCGGCAAAAATCATCTCTGTCTCACGTACACAGAAAGCATGCACAACCCACAGGAGAAGGTAAAGATGCACCATTCAAAAATACAGATCTTGCGTTCAACACAGAAGGAGGGAGGAGTATTATGTTACTCTTCTATTTTGGAGAAAACTAGTCAGAACAAGATTGGAAAACATTTTTCTGTATTATCTTAAGGCCAGTAATTTGAGACCTAATTTAAGTGATGGGTGAGATTCAACTACCTCTAGTATTATTCTCCCTAGTTCAAACATGCATTAACATTCCATCTGTCATGGTTAGAATCATTAGTATCTTAGCTATCACGTTAAGAGTCAGAAAAGTGACAGGTCATAAAGAAATTAAGCCAGTGGAGCTTATGCAAAATGAACCTTGACAACCTATTCTTCAAATATGCATAATGATATTAGAAGAATATCAAATTGAAAAAATATATAAATTTTCCCCTTTCAACTTTTTATATTTTCTAAAACTCCTCTTACACTGAGAAACGGAACTGAAAATGTCCTATAAGACTTCAGTTGCAACGAGCAATCTTTTTGGTAATAAGCTTTTTTTGCCTGTTCCTAAGAACATTTCAATAGAGAAGCCAGTCATTCTCAAAAATTATCAAGGTAATCAAGGTAAATCATGACATTCTGTGGTTCAGGCTATCAGAAAACTCAATCATTATGGTACACAACGCTGTACGAATAGGTGATTGCAAAAAGCACCAGTAACAAAAACCCAAAATGAAAAACTTGCAGAGCTCTCAAGCTTATAAAGGATAAGCCTATAATTTTGAACAGATAGCAAGGATGTATAGTGAGTTGACTGTTCAATCATACCTGCAACTTTTAAAATTACGACTCAGAAGGAAGGTCATTCTTTCCAATTAGTAAAAGTATCAACTGACCTTTTCTCATTAGAGACACTTGGACACCATTAACTAACTACCCATTTCAACTGCAACACTGAAGTACTTCACACCACAGCTTTACTAAGGAAAAGTCAAATTACAGTAACTTATGTAGTATGATAATCCATACAGTCTTTACCTAAAAAGTCTTTTGGGTCACTGATTTTAATGGGAGAAAATGATTTTGCACTGAATCATTCTCCTTGGTGCTTTACTTTCATTCACCTATAATTTTTCATCGCTGGGCTTATTTTCTTGTTTTCCCTCCCTCCATACTCATGAAACTTATTCTTTGCTCCCACAAGTCTCCAGTCTTTCAGAATCTTTTTTTTTTTTTTTTTAAATCCTGCTTTCAATTTACTATAAGAGTGCTACAATAGCTCTGCTATGTATCATTTGCTGTCACAGCCTCAATGGACAATATTCTCTAAACTATTTAGTATTTTTTCCCCTTCAACTTTTTATATTTTCTAAAACTCCTCTTACACTGAGAAACGGAACTGAAAATGTCCTATAAGACTTCAGTTGCAACGAGCAATCTTTTTGGTAATAAGCTTTTTTTGCCTGTTCCTAAAAAGATTTCAATAGAGAAGCCAGTCATTCTCAAAAATTATCAAGGTAATCAAGGTAAATCATGACATTCTGTGGTTCAGGCTATCAGAAAACTCAATCATTATGGTACACAACGCTGTACGAATCAGTGATTGCAAAAAGCACCAGTAACAAAAACCCAAAATGAAAAACTTGCAGAGCTCTCAAGCTTATAAAGGATAAGCCTATAATTTTGAACAGATAGCAAGGATGTATAGTGAGTTGACTGTTCAATCATACCTGCAACCTTTAAAATTACGACTCAGAAGGAAGGTCATTCTTTCCAATTAGTAAAAGTATCAACTGACCTTTTCTCATTAGAGACACTTGGACACCATTAACTAACTACCCATTTCAACTGCAACACTGAAGTACTTCACACCACAGCTTTACTAAGGAAAAGTCAAATTACAGTAACTTATGTAGTACGATAATCCATACAGTCTTTACCTAAAAAGTCTTTTGGGTCACTGATTTTAATGGGAGAAAATGATTTTGCACTGAATCATTCTCCTTGGTGCTTTACTTTCATTCACCTGTAATTTTTCATCGCTGGGCTTATTTTCTTGTTTTCCCTCCCTCCATACTCATGAAACTTATTCTTTGCTCCCACAAGTCTCCAGTCTTTCAGAATCTTTTTTTTTTTTTTTTTAAATCCTGCTTTCAATTTACTATAAGAGTGCTACAATAGCTCTGCTATGTATCATTTGCTGTCACAGCCTCAATGGACAATATTCTCTAAACTATTTAGTATTATCATTGTTAGTAAATGAAAGGCTTTTCATTTTATAAAATTAAGAATATACTCCTTAATATCAATGGTGCTTAAGAATATCCACGGAAATAATTTCTTCCTAAGCATAAAAATGTGCTGGAAAGAAGATTATCTACTGGCAAACATTTATACTTAATAGTGACCAAGTGTTTATAGGATGTGTTTTGAAAATAAAGTGTCATTCATTCTTTGTTGTAGAGATCATCAGATCTGTCAGTGTTGTTAGCACAAAACGGTTGTTCATCCAACTACTAATGCAGCAACTGATACACCTACTGAACATAGTACCACGGACTATTCCTCCTTGTGCAAGAATTCAGATCTGAATCGAAAGAAAAAAAAATTTACTTAACTGTGAATTACAGAATGCATGTAATAATCTAGGTTCAGTAAAAACAGACTGCATGCACATAAATCTCATTAATCTCTTACAGCCATTTGCTGATCGAAAAAAAAGAACTAAAAAAAAATTCAAAGCCACAAAAAAATTCTGCCTCCACTGCCAATGAGTTTAAGCCTGTTTTTTGTGTATGAACACATATTCCCCCAATACCAGAACTGAAAACATGGCTCTACTCATCTGTGGAGCTAAGGGAAGAACGTATAGCACCTTAAAACAAGCGGCTTGAACTGTAAAAACAAGCACATTGAATTTAAACTTGAGTATCCTATATGCAATTATTAGAAGACTTAGTTTTGAAATGCTAATGATCAAACAAATTTAAATTTATTTCCTATCAAGTAACTTCCTACCAACAATTTTTTGGACAAGTTAGGAAGTTTCTACACTCAAAAGACTAAGAACAGAAGTGTAAAGATTTTTTTTCCCTAATAATCTAAACACAGTTTTGTTTTAATGCATAAATAGCGCTACCTTCAAATTCCATCAATTTTAACCATTTTGATACTTGCACAATTGAATATCTAGGAAGAGGGTTGTGTGGAAGGTGCACATTACCATACTCAAGCAATACTGACCTCTCTCCTCTCAGTTGAAATAAAAATTTTCCTGCTGTCCCTTTTCGGAAGTCTTCCCTCTCCGACCTGCTGATACGCTCGTTACAAATTAATTGTCTATTTTCATCATTAAATGGTGTGTATGACCTTTGCTCTGCTAAGCAGTTATCATTACTTCTGCAAAGATTACTCATCATAGCTGGTTCTTCAGAATCTAGCTTCTCTTCATCTGAAATAGGAAATGAGAATATATTTTGTAGAAGTGCTCTTACACAATAAATATACGTGATGGAGCTCAAAATGAATTACTGTTTGTCATGTTACATTATCAAAATTTATTGTATCAATTTAAAAGGTGAGAAAGCTTAAGACTATTTAGAGCAAAGTAGTCAAAGTCTTATGAACATAATTTCTTGAAGTCTTTCGGTTTTGTGTTTTAACATTTTAATCTTTCATCTAATTTTTTTTTTAATTTCCCTTTTACAGATAGGTGGATTGTACCTTGTGAAAGTGATTATATTTCAGGATCTGAATATTATGAAGGAACTCAAGCAAAAGGTAGCTGTTAATCTTGTACCTTGGTATGTACACGTGATAAGAACCTGCACAAAAAACTTATGTGAATATTTGCATGGTCGCCAGAGGGGAGAAGAGGCAAACTCAGGCTATAACTACATTAGGTTCTCAACTTCTCCAATTAGTAACATCAACTCGTTAAGACTAATGGATTAAACTACATATAGGGGTACATGTTGTAAATAGGTATTTATAGAATATGTACATAATAATGACGTAAAGTTTAGTACTTTTTGTATAAGACTTATTTTGCAATGAGGTAAAAAGTGAGATATACAGTTTATCATGTAAAGTAAGAATCCCAGGCAATGTAAGAATTGTCATTATTACAAATGAGTCTTCATTAAAGACAGAGTTCCAACACATTGTATTATGAGCCAATGTGCAGGAAACCAAGATGTCAAGTCATTTCCCATCTGCAAGAAAATTACTTTTAAATCCCATATTTAGCGCCCTTTGTTAAGACTCCACTAATGAAACTCTTACAACAAATAGAATGCAGTTGAAGGCCTGTCAAGACATATCATTCCTTTTTACTCCTCCTTTTATGCTCAATAATCCATCAGGGAATCTCCTTAGATGATGCCATCTCATTATCTCTTTAAACATTTCAGCATTTAATGTTAATTTTACCCATTGAAGAAAACTTTCAGTAAAAATTCCATTACTTAGAAATCTATATTGTGGTGAATGGAGTTAAATCCAGTTGGCGGCCGGTCATGAGCGGTGTTCCCCAGGGCTCAGTTTTGGGGCCGGTCTTGTTCAGTATCTTTATCAATGATCTGGACGAGGGGATCGAGTGCACCCTCAGGAAGTTTGCAGACGACACCAAGTTGGGCGGGAGTGTTGATCTGCTCGAGGGTAGGAAGGCTCTGCAGAGGGACCTGGACAGGCTGGATCGATGGGCCCAGGCCAACTGTATGAGATTCAACAAGGGCAAGTGCCGGGTCCTGCACTTCGGCCACAACAACCCCATGCAGCGCTACAGGCTTGGGGAAGAGTGGCTGGAAAGCTGCCCAGAGGAAAAGGACCTGGGGGTGTTGGTCGACAGCCGGCTGAACATGAGCGGGCAGTGTGCCCAGGCGGCCAAGAAGGCCAATGGCATCCTGGCCTGTATCAGAAATAGTGTGGCCAGCAGGAGTAGGGAAGTGATCGTGCCCCTGTACTCGGCACTGGTGAGGCCGCACCTTGAATACTGTGTTCAGTTTTGGGCCCCTCACTACAAGAAGGACGTTGAGGTGTTAGAGCGTGTCTGGAGAAGGGCAACGAGGCTGGTGAAGGGTCTGGAGAACAAGTCTGATGAGGAGCGGCTGAGGGAACTGGGGTTGTTTAGCCTGGAGGAAAGGAGGCTGAGGGGAGACCTCATCGCGCTCTACAACTACCTGAAAGGAGGTTGTAGCGAGGTGGGTGTCGGTCTCTTCTCCCAAGTAACTAGCGATAGGACGAGAGGAAATGGCCTCAAGTTGCGCCAGGGGAGGTTTAGATTTGACGTGAGGAAAAATGTCTTTACTGAAAGAGTGGTTAAACATTTGCACAGGCTGCCCAGGGAAGTGGTTGAGTCACCATCCCTGGAGGTATTTAAAAGACGTGTAGATGTGGCACTTCGGGACATGGTTTAGTGGACATGGTGGCGTTGGGTTGATGGTTGGACTTGATGATCTTAGAGGTCTTTTCCAACCTTAATGATTCTATGATTCTATAGGAAAAAAGGCACCTGAGTAGCTTTCAATTCACTTTCAGAAGTGAAAGCCAGTATCATTTTTGGAAATCACATTTTCAAAACTGCCTTAAAGCCATTTAAATATTTTTAAAATTAACTCTGAAAGGACATGCAGGTCCTTTAATATAATATAATACTTCATGTAATTAACGATATTAAAACCCATCATGCAGTTATTTTTCTAGGAAGTAATATATATCAAAACATTCTTACTCTGATCAGGAGAAACCATTTTAGCAGAAAGGAAATTTCCCTGAGAAGTTCTTCTAAATAAGCGTGCCCGAGCACTGCTGACTTTTCTAACCTCTGCAGCATCGGCAGGAGGCTTTGGAAGGGAAATGGAAGAATCTTCATCTTTTGCAAAAGTGACTAGTACTGGTTTCTGTGACAAAGATAAAGACGACGTTTTAATAAAAGCACAGATAATTTCATTTTCATATATGCAAAAATTAAAAAAAATAGAAAACCAAATTATTTATACAAAGGGTTAAGTTCAGAATAGAATATATAAAAGTTACATAGGTTTTCTCATTAAAAAAATTTTCATTTTCATATCTAGAATCTAATGATACCATTCCACTAAACAAGCCAGATATCTATACCATTACCACCACAGAAAGCCATTTAAAAGCAAACATTCAGGAGTGCAGAAAACAAACAAAAACTAGCCTGAGTAGAGCAACTGAAACTCAGAATTATTTATTTCCCTCATAAATACCCATTTAACGTCATCTGCAGTATGTTTATTTGTAAAAAAAAAAAAAATGTTGTGCCAAAGACTTGCGCTAACAATTCTAGAGGCACATCTTTTCTTTACGATTTGTTTTTGAGCACTAAAGTAGTATTTCCAGAACACTTCAAATGTGTTCATATCATATGCACCACTTTCTATCACACTGAGACAAATCATGCAGATGCAGAAACATGCAAGTTCTAGTTTTATTTATATCAGTACCTTGCATCTTAAAGGATGTGACCAACCCCCTGAACCTCTGGTAGAAAACACTTGTTGTGCCCTACATAAACGCATTGCCCTCTAAGATCAAGGTTCTCTCCAATTTCCTTACAATAAAGAATCCATTAGAAAGTCTCCAGTCCAATCCTTTGGAACTCCCCCCAGTATTAGTTGAAGATAGCCAAGAGGTGAGACCCACTCCTCACAACCACCATGACTAATACAAGCTCTACATTTAGAGTGTACTAACTTATCTCCATTGGTAAAGCAGAAAAGGCAGTTTTTGCATTGGTCTTAACAGTAGTTTTCTCTAGTTTTTTCCACTCTCACATACAAGACAAATGAAAATTTAACACCAGTATTTAAATCCAACTGTAGATATATTTAATCTAAATATAAGTATGGACAGAAATCTTTTATTTGATTCATATAAATACATTACCTTATCAAAATTACTGAAGTATAACATTTCTTGGAATTTTTTTTCCCCCTAATTTCCTAAAGAATGCTACGTTTAGATTACTGTCTTGAAGAAACAACATATACAGCAAGCATACTTAACTGTTTTAGCATGCTCTGTTCTCTCAGGTACTAAACAAATGATCATGACTTAATCTTATATTTAAAGATTAAATATAAAATACCCGAAAGAGCAGATACTTATAAATTGAAAACAATTCAAAACTTTCACAGAGGGGAAAAAGGAGTTCTTACAAGTACCTCTATCTGTTTTTTAAATAAACTACAATCATTACATTTTATAGATGCTTAAGTCAAATAGGAAGCACAATCAACCTAGTTGCTTTCAAGTTATTGATCACAGAACCACAGAATGGTTGAGGTTGGAAGGGACCTCTGGAGGTCATCCTGAACAATCCCCCTGCTCAAGTAGGGCCACCTCGAGACAGTTGCCCAGGACCATGTCCAGGCAGCTTTTGAAGATCTCCAAGGATGGAGACTCCACAACCTCTCTGGGCAACCTGTGCCAGGGCTTCGTCACCCTCACAGTAGAAGAAGTGTTTCCTGAAGGTCACAGGGAACCTCTGTTTCAGTTTGTGCCCACTTCCTCTGGTCCTGTCACTGAAAAGAGCCTGGAACTGTCCTCTTTGCACCCTCCCTTCAGGTATTTACATACATTGATAAGATCCCCCTAAGCCTTCTCTTCTCCAGGCTGAACGGTCCCAGCTCTCTCAGCCTCTCCTCACAGGAGAGATGCTCCAGTCCCTTCATCATCTTTGTGGCCCTTCATTGGGCTGTCTCCAGTCGCTCCATGTCTCTCTTGTACTAGGGAGCCCAGAATGGGACCTAGCACTCCAGGTATGGCCTTACCAGTGCTGGGTAGAGGGGAAGGATCACTTCCCTCAACCTGCGGGCAACAGTCCTTCTAATGCAGCCCAGGATACCATTAGCCACCTTCTTAGCGGCAAGGGCACATTGCTGGCTCATGTTAATGCTCATAACCTTTTTCTATTTTAGTAATCTTACACAAGAAAGCTGACTCAAGTATCTGTCTTCTGATTCTTGTTAATGTCACCTAGAATTATAATGCAATATAGCAATATTTAAATAGTTTAAATTATTTTCAGGTTTATTTTGGGGAAAAAATGACAAAACTGACTTTATAAGTCTCAGACTAACATTACGACAGGCTTCCATTTCTCCCCAACCTATTTAAACCATATCTTTTCCTAACACTACTGATACACATATTTTTATGTCAGTATTGCATAGAGTTATTTCCAGAGTATTCACATGATCCAGTGGGCTAAGACGAACACCAGACACTGGTCTTGATTCAGCCAAATCAAAACTGGATGCATGAAGACTAGCATAAAGAAATTAAACATAATATGAATAAAGCAGACCCAGTGTTTTCTGGTTGGTTTGGGGTTTTTTTTATTTTATTGCATACTTCTTCCCTTTGCCAATGAATATGGGGAAAAGGAGGAAGAAAGAAAGAGTGACAATGCATTTTTACACTATCGCTCTTCTTCCATGAAGGCTATTTAACTTTGATATCTGGGAATTCAGCAGCATCGAGGGAGAAGAATTACAAGATCATCTGCACACCTGTCGTGATACAGTTTATTTCATACACGTCTATAATAATTCTCTAATATAAGCCTAAATTCATGCACAAACCCAACTGTGGTTAGTGCCCAAGCTATGTGACACAAGCTGCAGAACAGTGCAGGGCAGAAAACCCAGGTTTGTGCAGGCATGAGCATGCTCTTCCCATACACAGGAGAAGCACAGACAGAACAAGCAGGGAGGTCAGCCAGAGTGATCTCATTACCTGGTCACCAACAAACAGCCAAGTCGCTCTCAGGCTCCTGCCTTCTGTAAGAGCACAACACTATGCAGTAAGGAATATCGGATACAGTCATGCTGCCATGAAAACAGCATGGACACTGACTTACTTGTATGGCCATTCAAACACGTTTCAGCATCCTTTCTGGCATGCCTGACGCCTAACATTAAAAAAACCAGCTCCTATCTCCTCCCTACAGTCATCACAGAATTGGCATATAAGGAGAGCTAAAAAGTGGCTGGGAAAATGGATACAAAAAGCCCAACATAGAATTTTTTTTTCTCTTTTGTCACAAGAGACAGATCTATCGAGCTCTATGAATTATGCTACGTAACAAAATTCCACACAGAAATAATTTTGAAGTAGTATAAATTTTGTTTAAAAATGAGCATTTCAAACTTCAAGACCTACAATTTTATATTTAAAAAGATATGAGAAAGCTCTGAAAAAAGATCTAGCATACAGTTTATGTGGAAGCAAGCAAGCTTTCACAGTTTCTAGGGAAAAGTTGAAGACTATCTCAATTAAAAGCATACATTGTCTTAAGAAAAAGGTGAGTTAGAGACCATTTTCCTATATTATTCTCCACACACAAAACTAGTGTAATGACTGCCTCTGGTAGCTCTAATCCACAGGAACTTCCTGGACATGTAGATTAACACCAACAGTAAGGATCATTAGAAGAAGGCAAAGGATGTGATTAGGAATACAGATTAACACAGGGAAAAAAAAATCACCGGAAACATAATTACAGAATCAAATCTCTTGCTACTAAAGGATATTTGAAAAAATCTTAAAGCCACAGTACCTAAAAACTGAAGGGGGTCTATTTTGAGGAGCTCGTGTGGATCCAGATCCAAAAAGTTTCCTTTGATCCTCTGTAGGCGTAAACGGTCTCCGAGTTCTTAGTGTTCGTAGAACATTTCTGGCTTCATTTATAATCTCAGAACTGGTCTTCTGCTTTGGCACTGAAAGCCTGTAGAATGGTTCTGCCTTGTCTGTATTTTTATTCTTTGAAGCTTGCATTCCTCTGCAAAGTAGTGCACAAGAAGAACACTGTACAATATAATGGAAGGCACAGAATATAATGCTAGTTTTAAATTATAAACTATTAATTCATCAATGTTTATGCTACCACAATGTAGTTAAAAAGGATATTATAACAAAATCCTAGACAGTGGTGAAGTAGTGGAAAATAAGGCTCATTGATACTGCATTTCCCTCACAATTTCTCAGTTCTGTAGGAAAATACTGAAGAGAAGCAGAAAGCATCTGACATGGAGGACCTTTAGTTTTTTAGAGGGAGCTAAAATACACCACACTCAGTACCACAGTGCTTTCTGGGCCAAACATGGTACTCTCCAATACCACAGAAAATCTGTTTTTAACACCTGATTACTTATAAAACATCATAACCAAAACAGGAGTTCAATAATATGCTGTAAAGAGACACTTTCTTTCCAATGAACGTAGGAAATATCCAATATACGTTATCGACCTTACCAAGGGCAGCTTCCTAATAAGTCAAAGAGGTATTATTATCAGTAACTGAAACACAATTATCAGTAATTGATAAGCAGAGACAAGGAAGAACAGGCAATCCATTTTTTTCTCCAAGAGAAATGCCTCCTCAACCCATCCCCAAGCACATGCAAAGATAACACTAACATAAGATAAATTATTAACCCAAACTTTCAATCAGCATTCTGTCCTGCTGCACCTTCTAGCAAATGCAGTGGGCAGTGAAAGACTTGCTTCATCATCTCTTGAGGCCCCCAAAATCAATTACTATCCTGGTGCAGTTCTCTGTAGATACCATCCGCGTCATTTTACAGCAAACTCATCCTGAGCCTTAAACCATCCAAAATTCCTCTTCTGCTTGTCGAACTTACCTAAAAAGAAAAACATGTTTCTGCACTGTCTTTGACTCAGACCATCTGGTAACTTCTATTCTCTCACATAGTTTATGACAATGAACCAACAGTAGATCAGACGCCGCCATCTTGGTTATTTCTAAACTATGGAACAAAAATCCTCTTTCTCTAGTTTCTTAGTTCACTTCTTCCTGTTCTGCATTTTTACATTTCCAACTGCCCCTTCTGTTCTTTCTTTCAGAGCCTGGCACAGTTTCTTTAATTCATATACAACCCAACCCCTTCAGCTGAACTACACAAGATAAAATTGGGTGCTAAGGAGCAGTGCACCAACCTCTTTCATGAAAAGATGCATAATTACAGAACAGAGGAACAGATCAGGAGCCTGAGACTGTCAATGTTTTTAATCCTCCCGATTACCATTAATACATTACTTTTCTTCACTGTGACTGAATTTGGCTCTCTGTGCTCCCTACTCTTCCCTCTATTACAACATGATTCAAAAGAGTTAAGTAAGGAATTCCACTGCAACAGTCTGTTTGGAGCAATTATACAGCCATTCCTCACTGAATAGGGAGGGCAGATAATCATTCCCTATTCTCCCAGCTACTGGGAGTCAAGATTTTGACTTTTAAGTGGAAGGTCTTCTGCGTAGGCCATATGTCTGATACAGATATTATCCAGCATACATGGAAACAATAGCTGTGAATAAATACTAAAACATAATCAACAT